GGATCCCACGTGCCGCGGAGCGGCTGGGCCCGTGAGCCATGGCCGCTGAGCCTGCGCATCCGGAGCCTGTGCTCCGCAGCGGGAGAGGCCACAACAGTGAGAGGCCCGCGTACCGCAAAAAAAAGAAAAAAAAGACCAAGCAGGAAGAGAAAGGGCCTAAAATTCTGGGGATGCACAAGACACGCCAGACAGACAGATGATGGACGGACAGATGGATGGAAGGATGGAAAAAGGGGTGAGTGGACAGAGGGAGGGGCCTCTGTCAGGAGGGGAGAAGGTGGGAGGTCAGGAAGGGTGGCCCCAAGCCTGGGAGGGACAGTAGGAGCCGGGGGGAGCGGCCCCTCTGGTGAGAGCGAGCGTGGGGCCCGCCCAGCTCCCCTTTCCCCGCCTGGCTGTGGTGCCACCAGACCCTCCTCCTAGAGACGCCTTCCTTCCTCACACCCAGTGGCTCCGGGCCTCCCAGCCAACTACCCTCCGTGGCCTGCTCTGGCCGTGACCACTGGTGATGCCTGCTCCCCGGCGATGCCACCGAGTCCTGGCCCGACACTCGGCCCCCAGGCGGGGGCAAGGTGGGCTCGCAGCCATCCTGCGGCATGTCCCGGGGGGTCCAGGTTCTGTTTCAGCCGTGGCAGCTATCAGCGTCCACGGAGACACAGCAAGCTAAACTGGGGCCCTATCCCCAGGGCAAAGGTCCCCCACCCGAAGCCTGATGTGGCCTTCAGCTGCCTGGAGACCCCAGTTCTGATGTCCCCACCCTGCCAGAGCCCGCGTGCCCTCCCACCCTGGCCCTTGAAGCACCTTCTTTTCATGATACGGACATGCGGGTCGTCCTCCTGCTTCAAGCCCAGCCGCTGCCCACAGGCCGGGCCACTCCTGTCACTGTCACCACTGGCTGAGAAGCTGGGGGTCAGCTCCTTCTTCAGGACACGGGCAGGGGGCAAGGCAACTGTCCTCTTGTCTGCCAGTCGCCCCCGGTTCTGGGCAGGGAGTGGGGAGAGGAAGGTTAGGACAAACTGGGTCGCTCAGCTTCCTGGGTGCCTACAGCAGAGGGGCCTCCAGCCTCCAGGACCGTCACAACCGGCCAGAGGCCAAGACAAGAGCAGGGGGGCAAGGCCTCCACCAGGAACCCCTGAAGAGACTGCCTTCCACTCCACCCTGGGGGGCTGGGGTGTGGCAGTGCCTTGTCGGGGCTCCACACTCGGCCCAGGCCCCTCCACAGGCACTCGCCTGCTGGAGACCAGCGCGGCTTTCCCAGCTCCAGGGAGCGCCGAGGGGCCGCGAGTACCCGCGGGACGCTGTGGGTCCTGTCACCGTTCAACGTGCAGTCACCTCTGCCTGCATGTCTGCCTGGCAACCCCCCTCACACTCTGCGTGAACCCCCCACCCATGCCAAGCCCGCTTTCTGATTAGTGCCAAACGGAGCCCAGCTCAGGGGGAGCTGAAGCTGACCCCTGGCAAATTGCAGGCCTTTGGTTCACAGGTCACCTGGCAGCTGAGACCCTTTGTCCCACGGGCCCTGGGGGGGGCTCTGCCCCCTGGGTTAGGAACTAAAAGATTCGGAGTTTTTCAACGAGGTGCACCTGTCCCGGCCCTGCGACCGCCACATGAGCAGGGAGCAGGGGCACACGCGCAGGGCCCCCACAGAGGCGCTCAGAGCCCGCGCAAGAAAAGCTCCTATTGTCTGGTGGGCAGGGGGCTCTTTCTTATTTAATAACAGGTGACTGGTTCAGGGAGGTGGCAGGGGCCTGGGGCTTACCTAATTCTCTTTCATCTTTTCAGTGACCGGGGCCTCCTAGGACCCCGCCCTCCTGTTGCTAGGACAACGTGTCCCCGCCACACGCAGGACACACGCAGGAGCTTGGGGAAGAAGGTGTCCAGGGGGCTCTCACCCCTCCCCGCACAGCGTCGCCCTGGATCTGAAGGGCAGCGGCGTGCAGCCACCACGGTGCTACCCTCCAGAGGAAAGGTTCTCTTCAGACCCAGACCACCCTCACCTCCACACGACCCGCCCCAGCCCCAGATTTGGGCAGTGCCCCTGCCAGGCTCTGGGAGCCACAGTCTCTGCCACACCTGCCCTCACACATCCACCCAGGAGGCCCCCCCACGGTCGGCTCTGCAGCACACACTCAGCAAGATGGACTGGGCAGTGCTGGGGACGGGTGGCGTCGGGGGGAAGGAGCCGGGGTAGGCCTGCAAGACGAGGGGGCCTGGCCTTGGCTCGGTGCTACACCAGCGACAGCAGAGCTCGGGCGAGGCGGGGTGGGGGGAGGGGGGTGACTGCCCATCTGGGCCCCGAGCCTCTTCAGGCCAGGCCCCTGGGGGGAGGGTTCCCAACATCCCTGGCGTGTCAGGAGTGTGCTCAGCTGCAAAGGCCCCTCGGCCCTGCCCTCCTCTAGCTGTAGCCCAAGCAAAAGGACCTCCTCCCCTGCCTTTCCGCTTTAATTAAACCGTTCTCTTAAGGAAAAAGTAAATGCACGTCTCTCTGCTTCTCATCTGTGGGACAAGGAAGAGGAGAGGGAAACAGAGCAGTAAGGCTGCCACTTGGGGTGCGGCCAGACCAGCTAGGGTGGCCTGGGATGGCCCCAGGGTGGGGGGCCAGGATGGGCAGCCCTGCTGACCCTGGCCAAGGACAGGGAACACACATGCCTCCCACGCACACCAGAGACCTCAGCTGCTCACCCCTGCTCAGCACACAAATTTAAGAACTGGGTGCTAAGCCCCTGCCCCAGCCAAGCACTGGCTCCTCAGACAGCGAGGGTGGGTGTGTGGAGCTGGCTGCGTGAGCCCTGCACCGCGTGCACACCCATATTCTGTGACCGTGCGGTGTGCACATACCTGTGGACCTGGCCACGGGGAGTAGGGGAAAAAAGTCTCTCTGTGGAAAAGGTGGGGCCTGGAAAGACAAGGGGGTCCATGAGACTCCTTCCTTCCTAAGGGAGGGGTGCAGGGATGGGCCTGGGAGGGACCGGGCTCAGAAGAGGCAGGCCCAGGTCTGAGCCATCCCTCATGCAGGGCAGGGACCTGGGAGCCCCTGACAGGCAGGCAGCCCTGCCAAGCAATGTCCTAGAGGGGGCTGATGCTGTGCTCAGGCCACCTGTCCACCCCCCTCCTACGGGAGACCTTCAAAAGGGGATGATGGGAGAGGCAGGGCTCCTCTCACCCGGGCAGAAAACCCAGACCAGCCTGGAGGGTGTCCTCTTGGGCACCAGCTGCTTGAGAAGGGGACCGAGAGCTCAGCCTCCTGCCCCAGGCAGGTATGGTGGCAGCGGGCAAAGGTGGGCTGCCTGTGTACATGCTCTGTCTGGGGGGCTCTGTGGGAGGGCATGCCTGTGAGTATGGCGAGCTCATGCCAGACAGTGTGTGGGGTGGGCACGTGGGGAGGTTCAGCTGCGTCCTCTTCCCCTGCCCAACTTGTGTGTCTTTACAGGACTGCGTGTGGCTTCCTAGCTTGCCCACCCCCAGGGCCCACGAGGAATCCAGGACATCCCCTCCCCCACCCTACCGCCAGTCCAAAGTAAACAAGCTGAGGGCGGCCTGCAGGGTCCTCTCAGGCCTTCCTGGCAGCGGGGCTACTGAGTGGTGCCAGGAGCCATGGCCCTAATGGGCTCTCCCCCAGGGGCTCGAACTGTCCCCCTCAAGGAGAAATTTCCTTTTCAGGTTCACCCTCCAACCACTGCTGCCTGGAGGGCATGCGATGGGGAAGGCAGTGCTTCAGGGGCAGGCACAGGCCCCGTCTCTCTTGCTCCCCTAGGCTAATGAGGGGTCAAGAGACGTCTACACTGGGTTGGAGGCCCCACACCAGCTCCCAGCTGCAGTTCTCTTGACACCCAAGGCCCACACTGCACCTCCTGTGCCCCAAGCTGGGTTGTATCCCCAGACACTCCTGGACATCTAGGACCTTGCCCTGTAGGGCTCCAGCCCTGGGCACCCAGAGATGCACGTCACTCACATCCAAGCCTGTGGCCACCCCAGAATGTACATCCAGGCCAGCCGACACTGTCACACTGTCACATCCCAGAACAAGCATTCCCTTAGGACCGGCCCCTCTCCCAGGCTGGGCCAGCTGACATGGTGACCCCCTCCCGACCTGTGACAAGGCAAAGTCCCCAAGCCCCAGTCAGGTGACACTATCCAGGGAGGAATCCTTCACACCGTGGGCTGTCCCCAGGACCTCAGGAGAAGCAGCTCCCAGACTCCCAAGGAGAGGTTCCAGGATAGGCAGGACCCTGCCCTGCATCAAGGGGGCGAGGGCTCTGGTGCCCCGGGATTCCCACCCAAAGTCATCTCCTCTGTTAGTCCCTGGGGGCTCCCTCCTGCCCATCGGCAGGGTTTAAGTTAGGACTGATCCTAGAAAATACAGGCACAAGCTCCGCAGCGGAGAAACAAGACCCCGAAGCCCCAACTTTTCTCCCGCATCTCACCACCGGGGAGGATATTCGACAGCCTGGACAGTCGCAGATCGGAGGATGCACCTGCAGGATCCCCTTGGACATAAGCGTCTTCAGACTTTTCCCTGCGAGGAGAGCCGAGGCAGGACCAGTGAGGGAGCGGGGCGGGCACAGGTGGGGCCGGGCACGCGGGCACGCTTCCGGGGCGCTGTCAGGGTCAAGGCCAGGTTCCCTCCCACCACGACTATGAACACCCGCCTCTGTCCAACTTCCGAACCCTCCGCCAGGCCTCGCGGCTCACCCTACCCTCGCGGACGCCGCGGGGATCTGCAGAGCTCAGAAACTCAAGATCCGGTGAGCGCCCCCCCTTGACGGAGGGCGGCCTTCTCCCCTCCCCCGGCGCCACTCCTCCCGCGCTCCACGCTCTCCAAGCCGGTCCTCCGGAACCCGGAGCCGGGCGGAGAAGGGTCGGGCCCGGCGCAGGTGAGCGGCGCGGTCCGGACCCGGGACTGCGCTTGACCTCGTGGAGCCGTGAGCCCCAAAGTCGACGAGCGTGACCGGGCCCCTAACTTTCTAACCACCCTCTACCCCCGGCCTGGCGCTCACCCCGCCTCCCCCACCGCATGCCCGCTCTGGCGCCCGCACGTCGCGCCCTCGGAGCCAGACTCCTGCGGGAGCCCAAGCGGCTGCTCCCAGCCCCGCCGCCGCTCGGCTCCGCGCGCGCTCCCGCCCCGACGCGCGCCCCCGCGCCCCCCACCTGCCTGCGCCACCCCTGCACCTTGCCGTTCGCTTTACCAGCGCGCGTCCGCACCCGGCCGCCTCACGTGTGCCCCTCCACTCCCGCCAGAACTGGTGGCTCCTCGACCCCGCAGGGGAGTACCCCGCCCAGTCGGCCTCCCGCCCACTCTCCCGAGTTCCCGTAAACTTCCCCGTGAGCCTCAGGCCCAGGAATCCCGCAAAGACCTTCCGGACGGAAGGAGCCGCCGGCTCGTGCGGCCAGCGCTGCGGGGACCGCGGAGGCCGAGGGCGCTCTGCCCGGGTCCACCAAGGCGACCGTGCTTGGGGAAAGGGGGCGTCTCTGCGGTGGCCCCGGAGTCGCAGCGCCCTCTCTAGGCAGAGATGGAGTCTCCCAGGTGTCAGGACGAGGGGGGTCCGGACCCACGGGTCCTCGGGGAGCAGAGGGGAGGGACCGGAGAGGCCCGCGCCCCCACGGCGGCCGCACCTTTGTGGCGGATGCTTCGCTTCCAGTCCTTGGCCGTCTCGCGGCCGCTGACGAACTGGAACTCGTTGGGTGTGAGCCACTCGCCGCGGTGGCGGATGGACGGACCCTTGCTGCCCTGGCAGAGTTTGCGCACGTAGAGCAGCGCGCGGTTGGCGCCGCACTCCACCTCGATGCACGGCTCGCCGTTGTCCAGCAGCGGCTGGAAATCCGGTGCCGCGGCCGCAGTGGCCGAGAAGCGCTCGAGGGCCAGAGGGTCTCTGGGCAGATGGAGGTGCGGGGCGGCCTCGTGCAGGCTCAGGTAGGCGCGCGGGGCGCGGAGAGGCGGGGGCAAGAGCGCCTCGTAGCCCGCGGTCGCGGCTGGTAGCGAGGCAGCCGGGGGCAGGGCGGCCGCGGCCGGCAGTGGCGCCAGGTAGCCGGGCAGCGGCGGCAGTGGCAGCGCGGCCAGGGTCGGGTGGAAGGTGGCCAGAGCCAGGGCGAGGTCTTCGCGGCCGGGTAGCTCCTTCTTGACCGCCGGCATGGTGGGCGGGCGGCCCTGCAGCCTGGCTCTCCGCAGCCGGCCCAACTAGTTCCGGCCCGGGCTGGAGTTGGGTCTCGAGGGCGGGGGCCTGGGAGGCTCCTGGCCGCGCACCCGTCCTCGCCGCTACCGCGCCCCAGCCGGGCCACCTCGGACCGCTGCCCGGCCGGCTGGCGGGGCCTCTGCTGCCTGAGACATGGTGCTGCCGGAGCTGTATCGATCCCCGATCGACCTGCCCAGCGCCGCAGCTCCAGGACCCTGGGGCTCCACAGGACGCTGGGCCACCTGCGCCCGCGCCCCCCGGGGCGGCCCCGCGCCCGGCTTGCTGCTGCGCCCGCCGGGCCGAGCCGGGCAGTGAGGAGGTGTGGAGCCTCCGGCCTCGTGCCCCGCCCCGCCGGAGGGTCCCAGGCCCCCGCCCCGCCGTCCCAGCCGCGCACCCGCGTACTCCAGCGCGCGCCCGCCTGGCGGGGACTTGGGAGACTCGCGCCGCCGCCGCCGCCACAACTTGGCCCATTTAAACGGCCCCGGCGCGGCGGGCGGGCGGCACGGGCTCCAGCAGGGGGTGCGTGACGGCCGACTGGGCTCACGCGGGGGACCCGACGGGCCCCGGCTGCACCCTCTGCCCTATTCCCGAGTGGGAGAGAACAGGAGGAAAGGAGACTGGTGTGTGTGTGTGGTGATGGGGGTGGTGCGGGGGACGGATGCCAGCGAGAGGCGGCGCGCATGACCCCGCCAGGCGCTGAGGGAGTCACTGTTTGGGCGCCCCAGCCGGAGTCCTGGACTCTGGCTCCTTGCGAAGGAGCGGATCCGGAATCGGAATCGCCGCTTGCCTGGCGGGGGTGTGTGTGAGCCGGCAGCTCTGGGTAGGTGGTGGGCATCAGTGGGGAGGGCATGCGTGGTCTCCTGTGCTCTACAGGGTGTGCGCTGTGTGGCCTCGGCAAAGGTGTTGGGGAGGGTTCGCGGTGTGCGAATAACAACGATAACAGTCCCATCAACCATTGCCCCTCACCGTACACTTCACACACCTTAGTTCACCTGATGATCCCAACACGAGTTTTCCTTTATTATCCCCATTTTACAGATGAGGAAGGTGAGATACAAAGAGGCCAAGTAACTGTACTGACGTTTCAAATCCAGGCTGTCTGCCTCCACGGCAAACAGTATCTGAGCCATAGGGTGGGGCGAGAAAGTGGGCTAGATCCAATCTGGGTTAGGGGTGGGGGACGTGGGGAGGGGGAGGGGCAGCTGAATGGGGGGCTGTGCACCGGAGCACATTGCTGCTCCTTGCCATGTGCAAGTCTGGGGACGAGGGCCCTACGCATCCACGTCCACCTCCGTGCCTTCGGGGGAGAGGTCAGCCTTGGTCTAGGCCTGGTATGAGGGCAGCTGTCCCCTGGGATCAACCCACACCTCCCTGCAGGTCAGCATGGTGGCCTCGCAGTGGGATAACTAGGAAGAGAAACTGAGAACCTCGGTGGTTTTGATAGTAGCTGGCGAGACCTTGTATTTCTCTGGTGTGCCATTTTGGACAAGCTAGAGAGTAGCCTCTGATCCCAACCCAGCTCCCAGACCCCTGCCCGTGCCCCTCTGAGATGCACCTGGTAGGGCACCCATGTGGGCATCTTCCTGACCAGGCTTGGGCGGGGGGGGGGGGGGGGGGGGGGGCGGCTGCTGAGCTGGGTCATAGGAGTGCTCGCACCTTCTGCAAGGGAGGGGCTGGGAGTGAGGGAACAATCCCCCTCAGCCCCTCCCACCAGACGCCAGCACCACCTGGGCATGTGGCCGACTGCCGGAGACCACGCTGCTTTCGTGTGCTAATGCATGCTGCCCACCTCATCCCTAAGGTACCAGCCAGCCCCAAGACCAACCTGGGGAGTGAGGTCGGGGCTCAGACCAGGCATGTGTCTGGGACCCTCTGCCCCTTTACTCCTTGCATCTCTGTCTGTGGGAGTTTAAGGGGCAGGTGGGAAGATGGGTGTGAATGTGAGTGACCCCTCCTTACTTCACCACCCTTGGCCCCATTGCCCTCTCTGTAACCTGGACACCTGCACATACCTGACCCCAGGAGTGAGAGCTAGGGAGCTCCCCCCACACCCAGCCTCTGTAGCCTGTGTCTTGCTCTCAGGTGCGATGCCTCCATGTCAAATGGATGCAGGAGGCTGTCCTAACCTGAGAGCCAAGGCCCGTGGAGGAGTCTTCTTGTTAATCTGTGGTCATAGCTCAGTGTGGAGAGGCCATCAGGGCTCAGCTGGAGGCCAAGTGGGCCTGTGTGCCCACTGCTTGGCCACAGCCCTGACCCTGCTGCCAAAAGACAGCCTCCACCCATCTCTTCTAATGTTTGCCTGCATCTGTCTGTTGAGCCTTCGGCCTCCTAACCCCTGACCTTCACACTGCGGTTTGGGGAGGGGAGGTTGGCAAAGCACATCTCTAGATGTGAGAAGATACCAGGCAGCTGTCAGGCCAGGCCTCTCCTCTGTCCTGAGCCTGAGGAGGGGGGCCTCCCGTCCCTTCTGCTGGACCACCCCTCACTCACCCCTGGCCTCTTTCATCACACACTGGCCCACAATGGTTAAGGAGTGCCATGGGGGGCCCCAACTCTGGCTTTCAGGGGAGGGGTCCAGCTGGCAAGGTGTGGTGGCTGACCTAGCTCACCCAGCCTAACCTCCACGCCACCATCTGGCTCCAGCCCTCTTTGGAGGACCAGGGTTCCCTCCTGAAAAGACCGTGACTGGGCCCAAAGCTCTCTGCAGGACGCTCTCTCCTTCTAGGGCCACTCCCTGACTCCAAGGAGACCTCCCTCCAGGGGCTGTCGGGGTCTTGGCTGATCAGGGCAGTTCACCCCCCACACACACATGTTTCCCCCTGTTCTTGGGAAATAGAGCCCTCTGCCCACGGGACTCAGAGTGACGTTCCCACGCTGACGGGACCAGGCATCCTCACCCCTGGACATTATACTCTTCGCAGGAGCATCTGCTCACTTCCTCCCGCCTGTCCAGGTCTGGCACCTGAGCCCGCACGTTCCTCTGTACTCCGCAGACTGGAACCAGAGGGAAGAGGGACAGAATTTTGGCGCTGGGATCACCGCTGCTTGGCCCTCAGGCCCGGCGGCCCCGCGGAGAACACAGGTCGGGTCGGTGGCTGCAGCCCCTCCTCCGGCCGGCGGAGCTCCGCCCCTGGCCGCCCGCCGGCCTCCGCGGCGCCATCGCTGCTCGCGGTCCCCCCCGCGCGGGGCCCTCCGCCGCCCCGGCTGCCGCCGCCGCCGCCGCCGCCGCAGCCGCCGCCAGGGAGGGAGAGGGGGTCATAAATAACCCGCGGGGCGGCGCGGCCGGCGGTGCAGACGGTGACCCGAGACGTCCCCGGGGAGCACGGGGGCGGCCCACAGACCCTGCTGCCCCCAACACAGGCTCGGCCAGCCTTGACCGCCCCTCTGGAGCTGCCCGGCCTGCCCAGAGCTGGTGGTCCCACCCATCCTGGAGTGCCCGCCTACCTCCTCGCCAGACCGCACCCTTGGAGCCCCCTTCTCATCCATTCGTTCACCAATCAATCATTTATTGAGCACCAGATGTGGTAAAACCCCAGGAAGAGAAACCCAGAGGTGAGGTTGGAAGAAGAGAGAGATGCAGAGGAAGGCAGTGTGTCCCTGAGATCACAGTTGCAGGGCCGGGCCTGCCCCGCTCAGCCTCCGTTTTCCTGTGCTCAGCCCGGGTGCCTGAAAGGCTGGGAGTGCGCAGGCCGAGACCTGCCCAGACACAGGAAGGCATGCAGGGACGGATCACAGGGGCCCCACAGGTGTGGGCACAGTGCACACACACATGCCCACACAGCACCCACGGCAACCAACACATGCATGCCTTCTCAAAGCACACAGACAGCAGCCCACACGTGTGCTCACACCCACACACATGCACAGCAGCTCCCAAAGCTGCTCGCACAGGACAGGTGCAGAGGCACTGCTGACATCCTAGCCACAAACATGCACAGACAGTGCGTGTGCTAACTTAACACGGCAGCCAAGATCGAAGACACCACCAAGACCTGTGCACAAAACACACATAGACACACGGGCCTGCAGCGTGAATGCCAGATCGATAGAGTTGTCATGTCCAAGACAGCTTGTGTGGTGCAAGGGTCTTGTGTGTAGCACTGTTCCACCAGGAAGGGTTAGCCTGGGAGGTCAGAGGTTTGTGGCACTTTAGCTGGGGCTCCATCAGACACCCCTGCGAGAGTGGTCAGAGCCTCCAGGAATGTGTCTGTTCTTGGCTCCAGGTCAGACACAGGACGGGCTGCCCTGCTGGGACATGCCTTGCTTTTGGCCAACTGTGAGCTGGCTGCAGGCCATGCCACCTCTCCCTCAGGAAATGAGGTGCTTCTGAGGCTGGTCTGTCCACTGACCTTAACTTACGCCGTTTACAGAAGCAAAGAGTTGGGGCCTAGTGTCCAGACTTGGGGCACCCACAGGGCACACATTGTCGGTTACATATGCCATGATACTCACAGGCTATGTTACACATGCTGACATATACACACCTTCTCAGACAGATGCAGTGACCCCAGACACGAGCAGTGACACACATGTGCTCGACACACCACGGGGTGCACTGGGTACACTGACGTCAGCACAGAGGAAGCTGTTGTCTGCTCACATGGGTGGGACTCTTGGCTGCCACTGGCTCTGCATGCCTGGTCCCTCCCTAGGAGTGAAAATACCCCCTTACTGGCATCACTGGGGGCAGAGAGCAGGCTCTGCCTCAGGGCAGCCTGCTCGGTGCTGTGGCCCTGCCTGGGCGTGAGCTGTGCTGGGGAGGCTGAAGTAGGCGGTGGAGAGAGCAGACCCTGCAGTGGCCTGAGACTTGGGTCCTCCTGGCTGGCCACTGTGTGACATAGCCCCCTCTGCCCTTATCGTGACCTTGGTTTCCCCATCTGAAAGTGAGAGAGGGCCTCAAAACCTGTGGGGTCCCCTTTGGCTTGGAGCAGAGCAGTCAGGCTGAAATGTGGCTGCAGGGTCCCTGGGCCGTACAGTGAGGGGGCCCGGCATACCCTACATGCTTCCTCTATAAATGGTCTCAGGATGCAGAAGCTGGAGGGCTCCCCCCTAAAGTGCGGCCAAGCAAAGGGAAGGAATAGAGTCCTCCAGGGCCCCCAGAGACGCCACTGTGCCGTCCTCAGCCACAGGGCACCAGTCAGGGACCCTGGGGGCAGCAGGAGGGGCTGTGGAAGAGTGAGCTCAGGCGGCCTCTCTGCCAGGCCACTGGTGCAAGTTGGAGAAGAGAGGACATCCAGGCAGGGACCCTCGAGGCCGAGGGAAGCTGGAGCTGAGGTGCTGGTTGGGGGCGGAAGTCACTGCCCCCAGGCCCAGCTCTGAGAGGCTCCCAGGCTGTGCAGGGAGTCCAGGCTGGCCCAGCAGTGACCGTTTATATGTTGGACTTCCTGCCGAATGTGAGCTCCCTGCGAGCAGGGCTTTGGTGTGTCCTCCGACACACTCACGTGTCAGTGTTTGAGGACTGCCCGCAGGGACCGCACCAGCGCAGCCCCTCCCGGCCCAGCCTGGCCTCATCTCTTCCCCCAGCACCTGCCCACTGAGCTTCTGCCCAGGCAGGACTCTGAATACCCTCCTGTCCGAGAAGCTTCTTAAGAAGTTGGCCACAGGCATCCTCTTCACCAGAGCAAGAGAGAAAACTCAGGAGCCTGGGAGACCCTCCGGCAGGGGTCAGGGTGGGCACCCTTGATTGTTGGCAGGTGTTGCCCACACTGAGGGGGGAGATCAGAGTCCAGGGACAGGTGTGGTGGTCTGTTCCGAGGTCCCTGCCGGTGACCTGGGGGTGGCACAGAGGCCCCATGATGGATCCCACCCAGCAGCAGTGGGCAAGGGCTTGCATCTGCTCCTGCGTGAAGAAGCAGATGCAGACCTTGGAGGGGTCTCCGAGACACTGCACCCCTGGTACAGGCTGTGGCTACCTGAGGCCTCCTGACCCCATGTTCCTCCCACAAAGTGCCTTCTCTGTGCTACATGGAGGGGTCACGAGCATGTGACAAGGTCTCTGGGGCCTTAGAGGGCAGAACTCAGGCACAGGGGAAGCAGAGTGGAACCTCAAAATAAAGAAAAACAGCCAGGGTTACCTGGAAATGGCCTCCACTCTGTCCTGGGTAATGAGCTCCTTGTTAAGAAGCAGCCCTGGAGAGCCTGACACAGATGGGGGGGATGCAGCGGCCCAGGTGCAGGTCCCAGCACACACGTAGAGCTCCTCACATGGGCACTTGCCCTTGCCCCGGTGTGGCCTGGGTACACGTAGCATGTGACACAGAATGGCAAAGTGCACATGGGCACACAACACAATGGGACCATGCACGTGGGTGTACAACGCAGAACATCACCCCTGCCCCCCCCCCCCCCCCCGCACACAGGTGCCCACCTCACGGCCATTAAGTGTGGCCAGCGCTGTTGAGGAACATCACGTAAACCGCAGCTGCACCGCAACAGTTTACAGGGCTTCACTGTACAGCTGGCTGTATATTTCAGGAACTCATCCATCTGTGCTCTGCACCTGCCTGCAGCAGGAGGAGGGGTGGGTGGTCTGAGTCTCTCGAACACAGTCCCGCCCACAGGGTCACCTGGAGGGCCAACGGTCACTTTGTCAGCACTGATTTGTCCGTCAGGGATTTTCAGAAGAGGAAAGCTGACGTGGACAGTGAGTTTTACTGTTTATCCTTACAACTCTGGCCCAGCCTGGCCTTCTGAGGTCACGGACTTAGATGGACCCCATCCAAGGCCAAGTCTTGGACTCCCATTGCCAACGATCCTATCCCTCCAGGGCAGGTTGAGTCAGTGACATCCTTGTGGGGCGCCTTGATGTCTTTGTGTGCGCTGTTTGGGTGTGACCTGCTGAGCTCTCCACGAGGCCATCCAGTTCTCTGTGCTGATGTCTGGGGTGTCACAACGGGCACGCCCCTGGAATTATGCACGGTGCCCAGAAGTGGGTTGGTTGGAGGGCACAGCTTGGTACTAGCTGAGACCCTGAGTGGAGCCCGTGTGCAGAGGCCAGACCAGACCTACCACAGACATGGGAGGGCAGCAGCTCCATGCCTGTGTCCAAGGCCACAACCTGACGCTTTTCCCAGGGCACTTAACAAAGTCCCAGGTTGGCACTGGGGGCTTCCCGCCTGCAGACTGGGGAACTGGGAAGACTGCTCAGAGGCCACTGAGAAGTGGGAGGAGAAGAGGCAGTTGGCAGGGCTGGGGCTGGTTTGAGGTATTTGCACCTCTCTATAGAGGAGTGCAGGCATCTCCAAGTGTGGGGTTCTCCTGCGCTGCCAGGTCAGAGGAGCCCAACCTTTGATGCTCTGTGTACGTGCAGATGCCAACAGACTCTCCTGCCAGAACAGACAGGTCATTTGCCTGGACTTGGTGGCACTGTCAAAATCTGAGAGTTTGCCCCATGTCAGCAGTTGCATAATTTTGTGTCTGAGATCCAGTGGGAATGTGTGGGTTCCTGAGCCCCTGAGTCCTCAGAGATGTAACAGGTGATTGAAAACTGGTGAAGGGGGACTTCCCTGGTGGTCCCGTGGGGAAGACTCTGCGCTCCCAATGCAGGGGGCCCGGGTTCGGTCTCTGGTCGGGGAACTAGATCCCTCAAGCATGCCGCAACTAAGAGTTTGCATGCTGCAACTAAGAAGCCCGCATGCCACAACTAAACATGCCGCAACAAAGATCCCGTGAGCCGCACCTAGGACCTGGTGCAGCCAAAATAAATAAATCTTTTTTAAAAAAGAACAAAAAACCCAAAAACCTGTTAAAGGGCAAACCTAGGACTTGGGCTGGGTCATCCCACCTTCAGCCAGGAACACGGCCCTCAGCAAACTTGTCAGCTTCTGCTCCGGGCTGATGTTCTGCTTCCTGTTTCTGCCGTATGCTGGCCTTGACACATTGGGGTTTTTCTTATTGCTTTTAGCTGGTGAATGTATATTAGATGAGCTCCACTCGTGGGCACATGCCCCGAGACCCTCCTCTCAGATCAGCCTCCCATTCTCTCACTCCTCATTCCTTCCTTCCTGATCCTTCTGCTTCACCCACTCCTTAAACATGGGTTGGCTGGCTGGATGAGTGATGGCTGGCTGGCTGGCTGGCTGAGTGGATGATGGATGGATGATGGATGGATGGATGGATGCGTAGATGAGTGGATGGGTGGATGGCTGATGGAGGGATGGGTGGATGGGTGGGTGATTGAGTGGATGATGGTTGGGTGGGTTCCGCCCTAGGCGCTCTTCTCTTTCTTGTGTACGCCTGTGGTTTCCTTTATAGATTATGACCCCAGATCTAGCTTCAGTCCACATACTAAAGAGTCTACAGCTCACCATATGTGTCCACTTCACAGTCCCTGGAGCCCCTTTCCCACCACTGTGTTGTCATCGCCGTCTGGCTTTCAGTCACCCAGAGACCACCCTAGACTCCTCCCCGTTAGCCGAGTGGCAAGCCTCATCTGTGCTCCCGCCTAGATCCCTCTCCCTCCTGGTGACCTACCCGGCCCCTCTCACCCATCATTATTTCCGTGACACCCCAGACTCTGCCCCAGCTTGTCCGGCGCCTGATGGGCACGTCTGGCCACACTGCTCTCCGGGCTGCTCGGGGAACAGCCCAGGCTACCTGCACTCCAGGCCCTGCCTCTGCTCCAGGTCCCAGCTTTTGGTCTCCCTGCCCTCCCTCAATGTCAGAGCACAGCTGAGTGGTTTCCCCTGCCCAGGAGCCCCACTTCCCAATACTACTACCCTGTAGCCACCCAGGGTCCCATTCCGACTTGCATAGCACCTTTTGCCTTTGTGGGCCACCTCCTCCATTAAAGACTAATATAATCCATGCTAGATTCATTATTCACTATTAATATATTCTTTTTTCCTTCTGACTTTAAAGGAAATTAAAATAAAAATGTTTTTGTGATCCTTAAAAGTACCAGGGGTCAAGGTGCTATACCCTCTGTGCCTGGTGGTGACATCGGCCCTGCTACTACCTACTCACCTTCAAGACCCGCGGCAGCATCCCCTCCTCCAAAAGCCTCCCAGGATCACCCTCCTCCCCTGTTAGGGCCCCGCTGTGTCCAGAACAGCAGCACATACCCTAGTCCCACAGGTTTCCTGCTGTGCTGCCAAAGCCGTGGGCAGGCCCGGGTACTCCGAGGTGCTCCAACCAAACTGAACCCAGAGTGGGTGAGGAACAGGGTGCTGGTGGCTTAGAAGGGTCAGGTGGTGCCCCCTTGGGGGTGCTGATTTGGGTGGCTTCAATGAGAGGTGGTGCTGGCAGCCTGGTCCAGAAGCTGGTCCAGAAGAGCTAGGAGCAGGGGAAGGGAGTGTTGGCAGAGACTGAGTTTTTGTTTTTATTTTTAATATGTATTTATTTATTTGGCTGCATTGGGTCTTACTTGCAGCAGGCAGGCTCTTCGTTGTGGCATGTAGGATCTTTTGTTGTGGTATGCAGGCTTCTCTCTAGTTGTGGCGTGTGGGCGCTAGAGTGCACGGGCTTAGTTGCCCCATGGCATGTGGGATCTTAGTTCCCCAACCAGGTATTGAACCCGCGTCCCCTGCATTGGAAGGCGGATTCTTAACCACTGGACAACCAGGGAAGTCCCGAGACTGAGTTTTTGAAGAAGAACCTGGCCTTCAGGGAGGGGCAGGCAAGGTCAGCAGACATCACCCCCAATTCTGGGTGGGCAGTAGGAGCCCAGGTACACGGTGGCCCATAGATGCCAAGACCTCCCCATGTCCATCTCTGGGGATCCCGGCGGGATGCACCTGCGCCTGCAGACAGAGCTGTGCCAGGCCACCATATCTCTGGAGCTGGGGCCTGAACACCCTCCCTCAGGGCCCCTCCTCCAGCCCTTTGGCCCTCAGGATGCCCAGGCAGGTCCAGCTGCCTCCCCCACCCCTGAACCCCACTCTGGCTCTGTCCAGGCTCACAAAGCCCCACCACGGGGGAGAGGCATACACCGAACCAGGCCTAGGCGCACATGGGGTCTCCCTCTTGACCTTCTGGTGCCTAGCCTGGGGGTCCAGCAGTGGCTGCTCATTCTGCTGCTGTGGGGATAGGGGTCTAGGAGATGCCCGTGTCCCTGGGGTCTGCCCATGACAACAGGAGGAACCATCAGGCCCCTCTGAACAGCGCGGGAGTATTCCAGAGACCTCCGTCCCCCACCCCACCTCCCCTGCCTGCAGCACTGAGGCCAAGACTAATAAAACCCCCACCTCACAGGAGACAGCTTTATCTTGTTGATCGGAAGTCTGCCAGCCCAGTTTATGATGGAACAGAAGCTCTCCACATCTGAGTTTATGTGCTGCAGTATAACGAGGGGTCAATGAGATTAAAAGTGGGCTCGCGAGAGGACCGTGGACAGCTCACTCCTCAGCGCTGCCGCAGAAAGCCTCCAGCAGCCCCTGCACCCGGGGAGCGGCAGGGCAGAAACAGGAAGGGCAGGAGAGAGAGCAGCCCAGGAGGCAGGCGCCGCCGCCGCCGCCGGGGGGTGGGGTGGGGTGGGGTGGGGGTGGGGTGGGGGGTGGCGGTGCAGGGGGTGGCAGGAGAAGCTGACGCAGTGCGGCGCAGGGCTGGGGCCAGAGGCGGCGAGGCTGGCCTGGAGCAGGGACCTGGGGAGTAGGAGGACAGGGGGCGCAGAGGGGCTCCCTCAGGGCCAGGGGAAGGCCCTGGCCCTGAGAACAGGTAGCAGAGGGCCCTACAGTGGGTTGAAGGACAGAGTTCTGACCCTGGCCCTGGACCCATTGTCTGAGGAGGTTTCGGTGGGCGCGCTGCAGCTCAGGCCCCCCTCCCTGCCCCCTCCGCAACCCGCTCTGTCAATACCCCCTTGGAGTCCTGGGTGAGGGTGAGGGTGAGGGAGGGGTGTCCTCTGTCCAGGTGGGGGCCTGGGCACTGGCCCGCGTGAGGCTGGCTTTGGAGCTCAGGCTAGACCCTGACTTCAGAATTTATACAAATAAACGAAATGAAAAGTGCTGGCAGCACTGATCTGATTACAGAGTCATTCATTCTCTGGTCGTTAATAATTTGTGCAATAAAGGATCGCGGCTGCTCGGGGAGCAGAAGGCTGTGGCCCAGCCTTCCCTCGGCGCCTGGGCCGCGGGAGCTGGAAACATAAATTATTAGTTTCTTATCGCTCAGCCCGCCATCGCTCATGCTGCCAGGGGCCTGGCAGGAGCCGGCGGCAGTCCCCCCGCCTGCCTGGGCCTGGCTCTCAGCTGCTGCTTGCTGTGGAGACTCTGGGGGGCCCCTCGTCCTCCCTCCCTTAATGGCGGGACCCCTGGAGCCTCGGCCTTGGCTTAGAGTCTGCGGCTGGTGCCAAGGCCGACTCTGGAGCAGGCGGGGCTGTGGGGTTTCGCTCTTGTGCTGTGGACCTCAACACAGCGCCACCCCCCCGCCCCCGCCGGCGAAGCCCCATCACTGGAGGTTGCTGAAGCCGCCTTCCACGCCTGGCCCCTGGTACTTGCCCGGTCAGTGCCGAGGTCACCATCACCAGCACAACAGAGGCCCCCACACCCCCTCCCCACAATGCCCCACCCAGGGCAAAGGAACGATCGGTGTCTGGGTTTGTGTGGCCTCTTCCAGGTGCGTCTGTGGTGCCTCCCTGGGTGGGACTCAGCGCAGGCACCTGTCCCAGGTGTGCGTACCTGCAGGCATGGCACTCACCCCCTGGCTCATCCTGTCCTCCTGTGTCCAGCACTGGGCTCCTGGTCAGGCAGGCGGGCTGCGAGAAAACAGTCTAGATCCGTGGTTGGTCTGACGGAGGTGCCCCGAGCCGCGGCGGGGTGGGGCCGGGGGAGGGGGGTGGCCCGGGGCTGTCCCCTGAGCTGTGCGTCTGTGCCCCCAGGTGGAGCTGCTGAAATGCACAGACGTGGGGGCTGAACGCCCGTGGTCCAGCCTGAGTGGTGGTTAAGGCAATTATGGTAATTACAGAATTACAGAAATGAGCACCCTCAGACCGGGCTCCCACCCCCAAGCTGAGGAGGCCGAGGCCGAGGCCAGGTTGGGAAGTTGGGGTGGGGGCTCTGGGCTCCAGCCGTCCCGGACGGAGAATGTGGCAGGATCAGACGCAGGCACGGACACCTCTCTCCTGCCGGCTAATGTTGGACCCGAACGCTGATGGGCTTCCCTGTCCCGGCTTGCTTACCCTAAGCCTGCCTTGAACCCGCCAGGTTGGCAAGACCTGGGGGTCAGTGGTGTGCAGTGCAGAGCGCCCAAGGCCACATGCCCGGGCCGCTGCACCCCCCACTTACTGGCCGCGTGGCCCTGGGACAAACTTCACCCTCTCTGAGCCTGAATCTGTAAAAAGGGAGGAAGAATTAAACAAGATGGAAGTATATGCCTTGAGCACCTAGTCTGTGCCAGGCATCCCAGGCCTGTGTGGGGTGGGGTACGTGTGCTGCCGGCCTCCGCAGGGTCTGGCTCTGAGCCCCACCCCACAGCAGCATTCATTTTTGCTCCAGACACATTCAGTGTGTCCTCTGGCCTCGCGAACACCTGGATGCGGTTGTAGGAAAAGCTTCCATGTCCTGGAGCACCCGTGCTTTCATCCCAGTTGTTGCTGGGCTGTATCCTCCTGCCTCCGTGCGTGCCTCTTGGTTTTTGGTTGGGTAATCAGGACTGTGAGTTTTGTTGGGAGCTGAATATTTTCATAAACATCCTTGCACTTTGCTCCAGACACCAGGAAGTTACTTGGTAGCAGTTTGGTCCCTTCAGGTCTTGCTTTCAAGCTTTGCTGGGAGAAGCAGAGCAGCCTTTAGTCTTGGGCCAATTCTGTCCCATTTTACTGTGGCAAGACCCACTTGATCCTCTGCCCCATTTTCAGGTCTTCTGGCCTGGCTGTTGGAATGAGCCTGCACTTTTCACAGCCCATGTGAGCTCTGGACCCGACACCCTTTAACCTTCTTGGTGGGTCTTTCCTGGCCTCTGGCACGATCCTCACATGCACGGGCTGATCCGTGCTCTGCAGACTCTGGGGCTCTCTCCTCTCTGTGCTGCGAACTCTTGCCGCCTCGGCTTTCCGGGCCTCCCAGCTCCGTGTCTCCCCGCTGGGGCATCCCTGAGCCCGCCTGGGTCCCCTGCCTGCGCCACAGCTGGAGACCCCGGAGGCAGCGCGCTGGGGGACCCGAGGGCTCACCCCAAGGGCTCACCCCGATGCTTCAGCGTCATGGTTCCCCGTCCCTTGACATCTGATGTGCTGTCTCGAGGGCCATTGTTTCCTGTATTTTGCCTGGTGTTTGAGTTGTTCTGGCAGGAGAGTAGGCCTGGTTGCTCTGTCTTGTCAGAGTGCCTGTCCCACGAGCTCACAAGTTGCCCCATACCTGGTACAGGGCCAGGCATAGAGGAGGCTCTCAGCAGGTATTTTCGTTTTTTCTTTTAAAGGATATTTATTTATTTGGCTGCGCCGTGTCTTAGTTGTGGCACATGGGATCCTCGTTTCTGTGTGCGGGATCTTCCTTGTGGCATGCGGGATCTAGTTCCCCGACCAGGGATCGAACCTGGGCCCCCTGCATTGGGAGCACAGAGTCTTAGCCATGGCGCCGCCAGGGGAGTCCCTCGGCAGGCGTTTTCTGGGCCCCACGGTCTGCCTCACAGCAGACTCTCAGCCCCATCACTTGCCAGTTCACCGCAGCCTGGTAAAGGTGGGACATCCTGAACTCCATCCCAGGGAAGGGGCGTCAGAGGGGGCTCCATGGTCAAGGGCCTGGAAGACGTGCTCCCTGCAGCACCCCAGCATGTCCTCTGTTGGCCACTTCCACCTCCAGGCCCTTAGGCCCATCCCTGCTGCCCGGGGCGGCTGGTAGCTTTACTGTGGGGACCAGGGGGGCATGGGAGCAGGGAGTGAGGGCCACGGCACATGAGAGGCGAAAGTGCCCCCCACGCGTGGAGCAGCGAGAGCTGGGACGAAGTCTGAGTCCACTCTGGGGAGAACCCAGTGGGCCCGGGGCCGGGGATCCATCCATCAGTGGGGAAAGCTTTGTCATCAGTGCCCCGGTGACAGTCACTGGGAGAAGAAATTTAATCTTGGAAAGCCCCTGGTTCGTCTTATCTCCTGCAAGTACACTCTGTAGACTGTGTGAGCAGCAGCCTCGGTCATGGACACAGACATGTCACACACGGGACACAGGCAGGGCTGGCGGCATCAGGCTTTGGCTTGGAGTGGACACTGTCTGAAACAGAGGTGGGTTCAGATCTCAGCCTGTCACTGCCCAGGGGCTCCAAGGACAGGGTGCTGCTGACATGGGGTGCTCGCAGAGGATTCTCTAGGGCTGGCCCTCTGGCCACAGGAGCAGCCTGGGGCATGGTACCCAGAGGAGGCAGAGGTCTGACCTGCAGGCAGACCTGGGCCTTGGCCCCTAGCTCTGCAGGTGGATGGGCTCTTCCTGAGCAGGGTGGGGATGGTGGACAAAGCGGAGGGGAAGTGAGGGTGCCATCCGTATGAATCTTGGTCT